TTTGTTTGTAGTGAATTTTTACTGCACTTTTAAGTTTGTATGTTCAGCTTACTGAGCTACAGTATCTCCACTCTAGTTTTAGATACAGGCACTTTTGAATTTTATTTTTATTATGTGTGGAAAGGAAATAAAATTAAAATGATTGTAGGTATCACAATCCATTAAATTTCTTTCCTTCTACTTTTTTCAGGCTTACTAGATTCCCCCCACCCCAAGCTTCTTAAATTGAATGCCTATTTGGTTTCCTAGATTAAAACAAATAATAATATTATTATTTTTAATTGCCTTTTCATTGGCATCTCTCTGTGTATTCCAAGTCTTTCAGCACTTCTCCATAGTATATTTTCTTTCTGTTTCTCTGATTGTCAGGAGAGTAAAATTGATCTCATGTTTTGAAATTCTGTTGACTCATTTCCTGGGTTTCAAATGGCTTATTGTTTTGAGTCATACGCTTTTAAAATTTTTTTTCTTTTTGGTCACAACTTTCTCTTGTTGCAGGTTCTTATCCCTTTATGGAAGGTGCCCTGGTGGTGCATCAGTTAAAGTGCTCAGATGCTTCTAATGTTCGGCAATAGGAACGTACCAATAGCTCTACTTCTGTAAAGATTATAGTCTTGAGAAAACTATGCGTCAGTTTACTTTGTCCCATAGGGTCGCTATTAGTTGGAATTGACTTGATGGCACATAACAGCATTCCTTTGTGATCTTTCTGAAATACAGAAACTACTTTTAAAATCATTTCCAATTGCTCTGTTTTCAGTTGTTGTTCGGTGCCATTGAGTCAGTACCGACTTACAATGACCTTATGGAACAAAGAAGACAACAGAACGAAACACTGCCTGGTCCTGGGCCAACCTCACAGTTGTTGCCACTCTTGAGCCCATTGATGCTGCCACTGTGCCAATATGGGGGTCTTCCTCTTTTTCTCTGACCTCCACCTTACCAAACATGATACCCTTCTCCAGCAACTGATCCCTACTGACAATATGGCCAAAGTATGAGAGACGAAGTTTGGCAATCCTGGCCTCCAAGGAGCACTCTGGCTCCACTTCTTCCACACAGATCTGTTGGTTCCTTGGCAGCCCATGGCACTTTCAATATTCTCCTCCAACACCATAACTCAAAAAAGCATCAGTTCTTCTACGGTCTTCCTTATTCACTGTCCAGCTTTCGTATACGTATAAGGTTATTGAAAATACCAAGGCTTGGGTCAGGCGCACCTTAGTCCTCAAGCTGACATCTTTGCTCTTCAACACTTTAAAAAGGTCTTGTACAGCAGATTTGCCTAATGCCATACATCGTTTGATTTCTTGACTGCTGCTTTCATGAGTGTTGATGGTTGATCCAAGATGAATAAAGTCCTTGACAACTTCAATCTTTTCTCCATTGATAAGAATGTTTATTGGTCCAGCGGGGAGGATTTTTGTTTTCTTTACATTGAGATGTAATCCATACCAAAGGCTATGGTCTTTGATCTTCATCAGTAAGTGTTTAAAGTCCTCTTCACTTTCAGCAAGCAAGATTGTATCATCTGCATATCACAGGTTGTTAATGAATCTTCCTCCAATCCTGATGTCACGTTTTTCTTCATGTAACCCAGCTTTTCAGATTATTTGCTCAGCAGACAGGTTGAATAAGTATGGTGAAAGAACACAACCCTGTTGTACACCTTTCTTAATTTTAAACCATACACTATTCCCATGTTCTATTTGAACAACTAACTCTTGGTCCATGTACAGATTCCTCACGAATACTATTAAGTGATCTGTAATACTCATACTTCGCAAGAGTGAATTAACCTGATGGTTGTTTTGTTTTGTCTTTCATCAGTTTTTTTTTTTTTTTTTTTTTTTGTAATTTTACTTTGCAGACCCATCTTGAATGGCAGTATTGCTTCCTGTCTCCTACCACCTACTGCTTACAACTGATAGCCATTGCCTCTTTCCATGGCAGGTCTTTTATACCAAGCCTAATCCAAACTCACTGCCATCTATATAGGTGGTTCAGAGTTCTAATTATATTATATGATTGTTAAGTGCCTTTGAGTCAGTTTCAACTCATAGAAACCTTGTAAAAGAGTTTCTAAGGAGCGGCAGGTAGGTTTGAACCACCAAACTTGCTGTTAACCAGTCCAGTGCTTATCCTCCAGCACCACACCAGGATTATATAGTGTTATAAGTTTATCTCTCATATGACTTTACTCAGCTTCTAGCTGAGATTACCATCTTTAAAATAGTTACTGTGTGTGAGTCCATTGTTGTAGCCACTACTGTGTTAGTCCATCTCATTGAGAGTATTCCTTTTTTTTTATTTTCTCCAGGCTTTCCCAGGTTTTCAGTTTGGAAGAAACCACACATAGTCTCAAAGTGTGCTTGTTTTCAGGTTTCTTTCATGGAAGGAAAAACCTTACTGTGAACTTTTAGTTTCAGGTCTTCTATCTTAGACCATAGCTTTCATTATGGGTTGCGTCTCATAATGTAAAGAAAACAACACTGGACCAATAAACAACATCTATGTAAATGGAGAAAAGATTGAAGATGTCAAAGACTTCATTTTGCTTGGTTCCACCACCAACACTCATGGAAGCAGTAGTCATGAAATCCAGTGATGTATTATATTAAGCAAATCTGCTGCACAAGACCTCTTTAATTTCAGTGTGAGGACTAAGGTATGTCTGACCCAAGCCATGGTATTTTCAATAACCTCATATGCATGCGAAAGTTTAACAGTGAATAAAGAAGACAAAGGAAGCGTTTACGGTGTTGGAGTCTTCTAATAGACTGTGTTAGAAGAAGTACAGCCAAAGTTCTCCTTGGAAGCCAGGATGGCCAGACTTGGTCTTTCATACTTCAGACATACTGTTAGGAGGGACCAATTCCTGGAGAAGAATTATCATGTTTGGTAAAGTGAAGGGTTGGCAAAAAAGAGGAAGACCACCAATGAGATGGTTTGACACAGTGGCAGCAGCGATGGGCTCAGGCGTAGCAACGATTGTGAGATTGGCCCAGGACTAGGCAGTGTTTTTTTCTGTTGTACATAGGGTTGCTGTGAGTTGAGACTGACTCGATGGCACCTAACAAAACAATAGTCTTCCATCTCCAGTAACTATTGCTTATATTATACTCTGCAAAGCTTTTGTTGATCCATTATCTAAATTCTGGGATTTTTTTTTTTTTTTTTTTTGGTAGTTTTAGATATTATCATCTCTTCATAAATTTGTTAGCCATCTCTGCAAGGTGGTAGTGATGGTGGTTGTGTGCTGTTGAGTAGGTTCCCACTCACAGGGACCTCAGATAGCATTCCCAAGTCTTTTCGGGAGCAGAAAACCTCACCTTTCTCCCAAGTAGCGACTGATGGATTCAAGCTGCTGACCTTGTAGTTAACAACCTGATGTGTACGCCTCCATGGTTCCTTTCTCTGCAGGGTAGAGTGTAGAATTTAATCTAAGGTCAGTAGAACGTTTGCAGGCTCCATACTTAGTATTGGTAGGGATAAATGGCATACATTGTAAAGCTTTGTTCTTAGTAATTTGCAAAAGGGAAAAAAAAATTCAGTATTCCATTTAATTCTGAAGTTAAGTTCACTTTTAGTCAGTAGGTAGATTTCTATGTTACATCTAAATAATGACATGTTTGAGAAGACACTGTAGCATTCTAAGGCCAAAGCAGGTTACATGATCAAATTCAGTGTTTTAAGTGTAGCCATGACAGAGATAAATATTTATAATTACATACTTAAAATTAACTATATTAGAAGGTCATTCAAATATATTTGTTTGTACAGTCCAAAGTTCATAAATCTTTAGTATATGTATTTTTAAAACTTAATATGAGTATACACCCAGATAATGAAAGCAGTGTTCATGTTTTCCTAGTTCTGTAGCATTATGGCACTGTAGGATAAGCACTGGATTGCTAACTGAAAGATCAGCTGTTGAAACCCACCAGCTACTTCTCAGAAAACCCTATACAGGGTTGCTATGAGTCAGAACCGACTCGAATGTAAGTAACAATAACGTAGCATTAAAGAGGAGCCCTGGTGTGATGCTGTAGGATGAGCATTGGACTGCTCACTGCCAGGTTGGTGGTCCAAACCCATCAGCCAGTCCTTGGAAACCCTATACAGAGTTGCTATGCAACTGGGTGACACTTAACAACAGCAAAAACAAAGCATTAAAGAGGAGTCCTGGTTGTGATGCTGTAGAATAAGCACTAGATTGCTCACTGCAAGATCAGTGGTTCAGACCCACCAGCTGCTACTTGGAAACCCTATACAAGGACATTATGAATTGGAACAAACTTGACTGCACTTAACATACCATTATAGGAAAAATATTTTCACAATATAAATTTTTAGAAAATGTTGAACACCACAGATAATAATTAGGCATATGTGTGTTTGTACATTCTTTTAAAAGTCAAATTGTACATTATATATACACACACAAAGGTTTTTTGTGTTTTTGTTTATCATAACCACTTCATCTTATTACTAAATGTTTTTGAGGACACATGATCCTTACTAGCTGTTCAGTATTCATTCCTGGTCCGTGTTATAGATGAACCATGGTTTAGTCTTTTTGCTGATACTCAAGTGGTTTCTCATTTTTTACTGTTAAAAATAACACCTCACTATATATAGCTTTTGTACATTTTGTGTGTATACATTTATAATTTTATTTGCAGCAATTTATCCTAAGGAAATAACTGGTTGAAAGAGAGTGAACATTTTTCTATATTGCCTTTTGGAAAAGTTTTCCGTGACTGCCATATATGAGAACACCCATTTCTCCAGATTTTCACCAACTTGCTCATAAATGTTATTTAATGGATCTAACTGATACCTAGATGATCTTTATCAATAAATGACATTTAATTGTCTAAGTTATAATCTTAGTTATTAATAATATGACTTAATTTTGTCAGATCTGTTGTTCATTTGTTGCTGTTTTTTTTACTTTTGTATGTTTGTGAATTTTCTGTGTCAAAATTGTTTTTCAGTTTTTTAGAAGCACCGAATTATGTCATCTGAAATGTTACCAGCTTTTATTGAGACGTCTAATGTTGAAAGGAAGCAAAACTTAAATGAAGATATAGAGGAGAGTCAGAAGCTAAAGTCCGGTGAAAGGTTCGAACCCATGTCTAAACGACAGATGAAGAAGCTAATAAAACAAAAACAATGGGAAGAACAACGAGAGCTCCGCAAGTATGTGTTTCAAAATGTGTATACTCTACCCCTATTCAGAAACAAGATACAAACCCATCTCATAAATGTTTTGTTTATTAAAATCAGGGTTATGTATACAGAGCTAGCTAACACTGTTAATTGACTGTTAAAACAATATGTAATTTAAATTACTACTGTGTTTAGCAATATTGATAAACTTGCCTTGAACAAGTTTTGTTGCCCAGAACCTAATAGCAGTTTCTGAAACAGCCTATTTAGATAAAGAATATACTTAGTATCCATGTCTTCAGTATGGTGCAAAAATAACCAATTCATTAAAATCAAATTTTGGACTAAAATGGATTTTGATAGAAGCAGCATTGTAAACTTTGATGATAACAATTTGGCTGAAACTGTTATTTTATACTATGATTTTATTATGTTAGTTAATACATTTACTGGGAGAAAATAAACCAAAGTTTATGTAGACTAGAGAAAAAGTATATAAGAGTTTTCATTTGTTTGTTAACCAACAAGTTTATTTGTTTTTCCTACATAAACATTACATGGAAATCATGTAGGGGAAGAACGATAAAAATAAAATTGATTTAAACTCTATAATTCAGTATACATAAATTTTTCTTAGAATATGTAGTGTGATACCAAGAATAAATTAGACTGTTGAGTAGTATAATTAATATTTGAATAGAAAGCTTTAGATTGCTTTTGCTAAATGTTTTGCTGATATCCAACCATTTTTGCCCCACAGATAACAGCAGTTCAACATAATTATTTTTAAGCCATTCTTTGTCTGTTTAGAAGTCTTGTGAAAATCTGATCATACAAATGGTAATAGTTATTTCAATTACTAATTTTAGACAAAAGCGAAAAGAAAAACGTAAGAGAAAGAAGTTAGAGCGACAGTGTCAACTGGAATCAAACTCTGATGGAAATGACAGAAAACGTGTTAGAAGAGATGTTGTTCGTAGCACACTCCGCCTTATTGTTGACTGTAGTTTTGACGACTTGATGCTATTAAAGGTATCATGAATCATTATCAGAAAATTCTATAGGTGAACTAAGCGTTAATTTAAATTATTGTACATCTAAATGAAGTTTTTGAAGACCCACGTTCCCTCAGTATTAAATTAACTTATAAATTAAATTATAATATGTTCCATATATTTATACATACATACATATGAAGATGAGTCAAAAATTATCCACCCTTTGGCTGTAGAATTTATTTTAATCAGCTTTTAAAAAAGACAAATACATCATTTTTTGACATAATCTCCTTGCTTTTCAATACGCTTTGTCCATCTCTCAACAAGCTTTCATATTCCCTTATTAAAAAATATTTTTGGCTAAGCTGTGAGTCACGAATGCACTGCTGTCTTCACTTCTTCGTCAGAGGTGAATCTTCATCCTCAAAGGGCTGCTTTCAGGGGAGCAAAGAGGTGAAAGTCCAGTGAGAAAGATCAGGACTATAGGGAGGATGCTTTAACACCTAAAAATGATATTTTTGCAGAGTGTCAACAGTGGGCAGAGGTGTGCGGACATGCATTGTCAGGCAAGATTACAATGCCCCCAGATAGCAGTCCTCTGCATTTAATCCAGAGTTTAAGCTTCAGCTCTTCAGTAAGCATCTCACTGTAAGGAACACTGTTGATGAACATTTTTTCCTGATAGTGTTCCAATACTGGACCTTGAGAATCCCAGAAAACTGTAGGCATCAATTTTCCAGCTGATGGTTGACTTTTGTACTTTTTCTTGGTGATTGAGGATGCTTCTGTTCCATACTTGCCATTTATTTTCAGACTCTTAGTGATGAATCCATGTCTTGTCACCAGAAACTTTTTATTTTTTTTAATAGAAACTTTTACCTTTTTTCGAGTACCTGTCCAAATTTTGTTTGCAGATGTCCAAATGCTTCTGTTTGTGCTCATCTGTAAGTTGTTTCAGTAACCATCTCGCACAAACTTTTTGAAACTAAAATCTGTGATAGATTATTTCATAGGCAGAGCCATGATGGATTTGCAAATTATTTGCCACATAATCCACTGTGACTCGTCTATTCAACAAAATCATTCACATGAATGCTCAGTGTTGTCATCAGTCATGGATGTGGATGGGCATTTTAGTATAACAGGAGTGCAGATAATTTTTGACTCAATGTTGTGTGTTTATGTATGTGTATTGCATATGTATGTATAATAGACTCTCCATCATTGGATTTTAAAACTCAGTAACCTCATTTTTACTGTAACTTTTTTTTCCTTTTGCTTTTTGGGGTGGGAGGGGTTATTCATCCTAAACAGAAATAATAGAAATAGAATTGACTTGGTAGAATTCTTTCATATTCAACATTTAGAGAAACCTAATTGTTGCATAGTGTGAGTGAAAAAATGCTTTAATTATTTTCTAAGCCATTGGAAATCATGAAAATTATAGTAAAATGTCTCTAAAAGGATTACTTCCTTTTTGCTGGTTTTTACAAAAGAAGGTTTTCATAAGCTAGCATTTTAAATGGTATAAAATAGAAAATAATCTGTCACCTATAAAATATTTGGCGTCTCTGGTAGTGAAAATGGTTAATGCACTTGGCTGCTAACTGAAAGGTTGGTAGTTCAAGTCTACCCAGAAATGTCTTAGAAGAAAGGCATGATACTCTTCTTCTAAAAATATAGCCATTTTCTACTCTGACGCACATAGTTGGAATTGACCTGATGGCTTTATTTACTCTAGTAATTATTTTGTTAGTTTTAAGGAAGTTGAATTAAAATTATGAGGATGGACCTGTATTTCAAAAGAATTCAGTGCCTGTCTGGTCACCTCTCTGCTTCCACTGAGAGTGTGGAACGACCTTAGATGATGCTGGTAGCCCTGCTTTAAATATGAAATGCATTCTTCTACAGGACGTTAAGAAACTTCATAAGCAGATTCAGCGATGTTATGCAGAAAACCGACGAGCCTTGCATCCTGTGCAGGTATGTCTCTGGAATTTAAAGCTGCAGTTTCTATCACAAAGTCCTATAATCAAAAAGTGTCACAAATTTATCCTCACATGTACAAAGCATGTACCAAATTTGTTCTTTTCTAGATCAGTGAGTATCAATATATTTTGTATTTCATTGATTATCACATAAGTATATTAGGAAAATCAAATATTGTATTTAACTAGTCATTTTGTTCTTTTCCTCTATCTATGCCTATCAATCATTTGTAAGTTTTACTTGACCAGCCATGGAGGGCAGCTGAAAAAAAACATGGATGAAAATGACAAAGGATGGGTAAATTGGAAGGTAACTAAAACAGATGAACTCTCTCCTAATTCCAATTATTGTTATACTTACAAGGTTCTGCATTTTTGTCTTAATTCTCCATGATATTGAACATAGGAATGAGCTGTCTCTGAGCCCTGTGTGTCACTGATGACGTAAGTCTAAAGTTATGCATGGGGAAGCAGCTCAAGAATAGAATGTTAAGTTTGGTTTTTTATATTTGCTCTTATTAAATCTCAACTGCCATTGTACTGCCAATGGTAAAACATATTAAACAATGGGGAAAAAATCTAAGGTCTTTGTGCTGTCTCTCCCTAACACATTGGCCCTGCTATCTAAGAGTGAACTCACTTTAAAATTTGAAAGTGTTCCTATATTCTGTTTTTAATAAATGAGCACTGTCTGACGTGGTGACCACTAGCCACATGTAATTATTGAGCTCTTTAAATGTGGCTAATTTGAATTGTATAATTTTTTTAATATGTAGGTTGAAGTACGTTTTCTCTGTATTTTGTTAACTAAATCATATTTTTAAAATGAATTTCACCTTTTTTCCTTTTTGTTTTTTAATATGCCCATTGTTGTTGAATGCCATCAAGTTGATTCCGACTCATAGTATTCCTGCATAGGATTTTCGATGAGCAGCTGGTACATTTTGAACTGCCAACCTTGTGGTGCAAACTGACCTTGTGGTCTAGTGCTTATCCTACAGCACCATTTCAGGACTCCAATGGAGGCTATTAGAAATTTTAAATACCCTGTGGCTCATGTTTTCTTTCTGTTTGGTTGTGCCATTCTGTCATTAGTAACGATGAATTATAAGGCGGTTGTTAACAGTCCCTGAAGAACTCTGTTCTGGTTGCAGAAGTCCTGAGTTGTTCCTATACTTTTTTCATTCTCACTACCAATTTTCACATGATAGTCTTTCTCTCTCATACTCATTTCCCCTTTGTCTTTAAGGATATCCATATCAAGCCCGAGCACTATACTGAACTTATAAAAAAAGAAGACCTGATTTATCTTACATCAGATTCTCCCAATGTACTAAAGGAATTAGATGACTCGAAGGCCTATGTGATTGGAGGATTAGTAGATCACAATCATCACAAGGTGCTTATAAGCTTTAATTTTTTGCATTTGCTTATACTTCAGATTCATTTATCAGAGTTTCTCAATTGTCAGCGTAATACCAATGGTATTGTTTTTGTTGTTGTTAAGGATCATCAAGTCAGTTCTGACTCATAGAAACCCTGTATAGGGTTTCCAAGGAGCGACTGGTGCATTTGAACCACCAAGCTTGTGGTTCAGACTGGCTTTGTGGTCCCGAGCTTTATCCCACAGTACTTCACCAGGACTCCTGTATGCTTTTATTTTTGCTTTTGCTTGTACTTCAAATTCATTTATCAGAGTTTCTCAGTTGTCACTATAAAACCAATGATAGCTGACCTTCATTGAGCACCTACTGTATATTTCAGTTATCCTAAGGAGTAAGCTAAGGAGCTCTGGTAGCATAGTGGTTATGAATTGGGCTGCTATCCTCTGGGTCAGCAGTTCGAAACTACCAGCTGTTCCGCAGGAGAAAGATGAGGCTTTCTGCTCCCATAAAGATTTACAGCCTCAGAAACCCTGTACAGCCTCGGAACCAACTCCACGGTACATAACAACAACAAGGAGTAAGCTAGTTAATATATGTTTAGAAAGATAACTGTACAGTAGGTGCTCAGTAAAGATCAGCTATCATTAGTATTATGGTAACAACTAAGAAACTCTGATAAACGAATTTGATGTACAAGTAAAAGCATGTAGGGGTCCTGGTATGGCACTGTGGGATAAAGCACTAGACCGCAAAGTCAGTCTGAACCACAAGCTTAGTGGTTCAAATGTACCAGTCGCTCCTTGGAAACCCTGTACAGGGTTGCTATGAGTCAGAAGGCCCTTAACAACAACAAAAACAACATCATTGGTATTATGGTGACAATTGAGAAGTGCAGCCAGAGTGTTCCTTGGAGGCCAATATGGCCAAACTTCGTCTCTCATACTTTGGACATATTGTCAGGAGGGACCAGTCGCTGGAGAAAGTTAATCTGTTTGGTAAGGTGGAGGGTCAGAGAAAAAGAGGAAGACCCCCAACAAGATGGATTGGCCAAGTGGTGGCATCGATGGGCTCAAGTAACAGTAGTGAGGTTGGCCCAGGATTGGGCAGAGTTTCTTTCTGCTATGCATAAGGTCGCTATGAGTCGGTACTGACTCAATGACACCTAACAACAATAACAATTCCTCACTGAAACCTATAAGGTCAGTGCTATTATCACCATTTTATCATTGAACCTGAAGCGCAGAGAAATTACAAAAAAAACTCAGTAGTAGTAAGTGGTAAAGCAAACTTTTGAAACCTGTCTGACTGTGCTAGATTCTACATGCTTGACCACTATCTATATTGAGAGATGATGATGCCCCAAATGTCTGTCACTATACTTATCATCAACGGGCTCTGGTCGCATAGTGGTTATGAATCGGGCTGCTAACCTCAAGGTCGACAGTTTGAAACCGTGGGAGAAAGATGAGGCGGTCTGCTCCCGTAAAGATTTACAGCCTCGGAAACCCTGTGCAGCGTCAGCATGAGTCAGAAGTGACTCCACGGTACTTAACAATAACAACAACATACTTATTATCAAGAGAATGTGTCCACTTTAGCATTTAAGTACACACATGCATACATGCTCACAACTCTTCAGATAATATTCTCTGAACTAAAGTTATTTTAATTATTTATACTGTCATAGACCTTAATTTAAAAGTGTTAATGTTATCATTTAAGTCACAGTGTCTTTGTTTTAGGGACTCACATATAAACAAGCATCAGATTATGGAATTGAACATGCACAGCTCCCCCTTGGAAATTTTGTGAAGATGAATAGTCGAAAAGTTTTGGCAGTTAATCATGGTAAGCTATAAAGTGGTAAAATGAAAATATAATATACCTTAGTGAACACTATGGGGGGAAAAATGTATCTACGTTTGAGACAATGGAAAATATTGTAGGAGACAAAACTAAAAAAAAAAAATCATTTTAATTTGTTTAAATTACAAATATAATACATGCATATTTTAGAAAAAAATTTAAATGTAGAAAAGGTTGAAGAAAAATAAACAAGCTGTAATCTTAACTATTCCGAGACCCTTGTTGTTGACTTTTGGCATATTTCCTTCTAGTTCTTATATGCAGGTGTAATTTTGCTTATTGCATCATTGAATTCTTACTCTAGTGCACCCAGTTTTATAATTCTGAGTTTTTCCCGTTTGTCATCTTTTTCCATGTCACTGAATGAATATTAATGGCTATTTAATCTGATTCATCATCTAGCAGGCAGTTGCCCCATGGGAGAAATAGGAGGCTTTCTGCTCCCTCAGAGATTTACATCCCTGGAAACCTAATATGGGGTCAGTATGACTCAGAGTTTACTTGACGGCACTTAACCAACAACAACAGGGAGTTAGGGAAATGAAACCATTATTGAGCCAGGAAGTGAACTGCTTATGGTGGTTGTATGCTGTTGAGTTGGTTCTGACTTGTAGCAATCCTTTATAGGGCTACTGAGGCTGTAAATCTTTACAAAAGCAAAAAGCCTCATCTCCCTCCCATGGATTCAAACTGCTGACATTGCAGTTGGCAGCCCAGCTGGTAACCCATTGCGCCACCAGGACTCCTCAAACTTTTTATAAAACCTTTGGTACATAATGGAAATTACTTTTCCACAAAGTAATGAAAATCTATAGTTGGAGTCCTATTGAGGCACTGAAGGATCAACATTGGACTGTTAACCAGAAAGGCAGCAGTTCAAACCCACCAGTCGCCCCTCAGAAATTCTATACAGGGTCACTATGATTTGAAACCAACTTGGCGGCACTTAACAACAACAGCAATCAAAGTTAAACCTTCAACAGTATTATGGTGAAATTACTTGGAAACAGTATTAACATTTTTTACTCTTAATGTTTAGCCTAGTGATTATGAGTTGGGCTGCTAATATCAAAGTCAGCAGGTCGAAACTACAGGAGTTCTACTGGAGAAAGGTGAGGCTTTATGCTGTCAAAGATTTACAGCCTCGGAAACCCTTTACAGGTCATTATGAGTTGAGACCAACTCGATGGCACATAACCACTACCACCACCACCACCAGTGTTTTTAAAAAAAGCACAAAACAGAAAAAGCTGGCAAGAAGCTTCCCAGAATTGCTGTTGCTAAATGCCATTGAGTTGGAACTCATGACTCTTTTTAGGAAATATAAAAGAAATTTAGATTCAATGCTAGCCGTTTTTGTTTTTTGCTTTTCCTCCCTTAGTTTTATGTCAGTATGTGAAAGGGATAAAGAAAAATAGAAAGGAGACTAAAAAGGTCTTTTGTCTGTAGATTGTAATTAATAAGAGATGATGGTAAGCCTTTGACTGCTTAAGACCTGAATTGAGAGAAAGCTAGAGGGGAGGGGCAGACTTCAGGCTCTTGAGGCAAATTGCCCCTGACAGCATATAGAAGAAGGAAAAGATAAAATTAGTTTTTTTAGACATCCTAGCACTCCTGGCACAAAAGTAATGGATTTTAAAAGGCAATATGCAACATTTTGGTGTACTTGGCTAAGAAATGTATGGAGTTTGTTTTTATTGCAGTGTTTGAGATTATTCTGGAATACCTGGAAACAAGAGACTGGCAAGAGGCATTTTTTACTATTTTACCCCAGCGTAAAGGAGCTGTTCCCACAGAAAAAGCCTGTGAAAGTTCTTCGCATGACAAGAAATGTACCAATTTTGAAGGTGGATCGGACAGTGATTGCAGTGAGGAGGAATATAGCAGAAATGAACTAGATTCAGCCCATGAAGAAGAAAAGCCAGATAAAGAAAATAGCACAGACTCTACAGTGAACTCTGTACCACACTAATGTTATATGGTTTTCTTTTAGTTTCAGGGGGGGAAAGGAAAAACTAGGAAGAAAATTCTATTTTTTTTCTTACTTGTTTTGTTTTGTTTTTCAAGCTGACAAAAGACCCTTTAAACTGGTAAAGTATTCTTTTTGTTTTTGCATAGGTTGACTTAAATGTGTACATTTGTTTTTTAAAATTGTTTTCTAAGCCTAAGAGTTTAGAAAGATAAGAGTTTTTAGGGAATTTTATTTTATTAATAGTATGTCTTCATTCCCTTTTATTGGATTGTACTCTTCAGAATGTGCCTTCTGTCCTTTCAACTTAATTATTTTATGTTCATGTCAATATCTTTCTGATCTATTACATATCTGTCGGAGCAGATATTCATAAATCTCCTATGACTACCAGAATGCTCTGTTTTGAGGATTACCTACTACTAGTTTGTAGATTTTATGTTCAGTTTAGTTACTTCAAAGAAATACAGTGATTTCAGAAAGTATCAGGTTGACAGATGCAGCAGTTTATATCTTTGGACTGTGGAACCCATATCTGTTGATCATTTGCCATATAGTTTTACAGTTCTGAAACAGTCACTGAAGAGACAAGAATCTCTTTAATAATTTTCTTAAGTCCTATGTTATTGTTGTTAAGTGCCATTGAGTCAGTTCCAACTCACAGCGACCCTGCATAGGGTTTCTGAAGAGTGGCTGATGGTTTTGAACTGCCAACGTTACAGCGCCACACCAAGACTTCTAATTCCTGTGTTGTTGTTGTTAAGTGCCGTCGAGTCGGTTTCGACCCATAGCGACCCTGTACAGGGTATAGTATTGGTAAATAATTTCAGTGATAAAAATAAAATTTTTGACAGGTTTGCAAAAGGAAACAATAACACACACTTTAAAATAATCAACCATTTGAGATCAAAGGGCAGCATTTACTCATGGACAAAGTTTGGAAAGTTAGGAAAAAAGGAGGAATGGAAACAGGAAACAGGGAGGCAATGGGATAACTGATGTTACATTGTGGAAATTGCAATGAATGGGATGAATCAATGTTTATGGATTGTTAAATAGAAAACTGATATGCTTTGTAAACCACTCAATTCACAATGACAAGTTAAATAAAAATAAAATGAAACATATCTTAGCAGGCTATCTTTTGCTTCCATAGTTTGAAAAAAATCTTTTTACTTTTAAAATGAATAAAGGTAACTTCATGTGCATCTGATGTTTGTTGTTGTTAAGTGCCATCGCGTCAATTCCGACCCATAACAACCCTGTATAGGATTTCCAAGGAGCAGCTGGTAAGCTTGAACCACCGACTTTGTAGTTCAAATGACTGCAGTCTGACACATTAGCCCACACACACAGGACTTCATGTTTACATGTGCTTTATTGTCTACACAAAGGGCATTTGATTGTGTGGATCATGACAAGCTATGGACAACATTGCATGAACAAAGAGGCAGTTGTTCGAACAGAACATGGGAACACTGAATGGTTTAAAATTAAGAAAGGTGTGCAACAGTGTTGTATTATTTCCCTATACTTATTCCACCTGTATGCTGAGCAAATAATCCAAGATGCTGGCTTCTATGAAGAAAAACATGACATCAGGATTGGAGGAAGACTCATTAACAACCTGTGATAACGCAGATGAGACACAACCTTGCTAAAAAGAAGAGGATTTAAAATACTGATGAAGATCAAAGACCACAGCTTTCCATATGGATTGTATCTCAATGTAAAGAAAAATAATCCTCACCACTGGACTAATCAACATTCTTATCAATGGAGAAAAGATTGAAGTTGTCAAGGACTTCATTCTTCTTGGATCAACTATCAACACTCATGGAAGCAAACAATGTAATAGCATTACGCAAATCTGCTGCACAAGACCTTTTTAAAGTATTGAAGAGCAAAGTTCTCAACTTGAGGATTAAGGTGCACCTGACCAAGCTATGGTATTTTCAATAACCTCATATACGAAAGGAGCTCTGGTAGCATAGTGGTTATGAATCAGGCTGCTAACCTCAAGGTTTGCAGTTCAAAACTACCAGCTGTTCTGTGTGAGAAAGATGAGGCTTTCTGTTTCCATAAAGATTTATAGCCTCGGAAACCCTGTGCAAGGTCACTATGAGTCAGAACCGATTCCGTGGTACTTAACAACAAAAACATGCATGCAAAAGCTGGACAGTGAATAAGGAATACCTTATTTGAGTTATGGTGTTGGAGGAGAATACTAAAAGTGCTATGGGCTGTCAAAAGAACCAACAGATCTGTGTTGGAAGAAATGCAGCCAGAGTGCTCCTTGGAGGCCAGGATGGCCAAACTTTGTCTCTCATACTTTGGCCATATTGTCAGGAGGGACCAGTCGCTGGAGAAGGATATCATGTTTGGTAAGGTGGAGGGTCAGAGCAAAAGAGGAAGACCCCCCAGCAAGATGGATGGGCAAAGTGGCAGCATCAATGGGCTCAAGCATGGCAACAATTGTGAGGTTGGCCGAGGACCGGGCAGTGTTTGTTTCTGTTGTGCATAGGGTTGCTATGAGTCGGCACTGACTCGATGGCACCTGACAACAATAACAATAGCAGCCTACTTTCATAATATTCAAGCTAATGTAAATGTCTGTTTATGTAAGTAAGAAATGTATATGAAAACATGCATATAATGTATGTTTGTCCACATCATCTCTGCTTCTCACATTATTGATAAAAACAATTACGTTGCCATATATTGTTTATGTGGGTAGTTGTGTTGACTAATGCTAAGAACACTTTTAATTTAGTGCAAACATATATAATTAAAATTTTTTTATGGGAAAGTTGGCGAGAGGATGAGACTAAAGGGAACTGTTTTAATTTTGTTGTTGGTTGCTGTTGATTCCAATTCATAGAAACTCCAGGTGTGCACATTAGAAAACTTGTTGGGATCTTTAAGAAACAAATCACCAGGCACTTCTTCCAAGATACCTTTGGGTTAGTCTGAACCACCAGAATTTCTGTTATTAGTCTAGTGCTTAACCAATTGCAACCTTATGTGTGTTTTTGTTAAGTGCCCATTGAGTCAGTTTCAACTCATAGCAACCCTATACAGGGTTTCTGAATAACAGCTAGTGGGTTTGAACTACTGACGTTGTGGATAACAGTCTATTGCTTATCTTACAATGCCACACTGAGACCCATTATGTAGATGAGTTATAAGTGTAGTGATTATTCTTTGCCACAGCTAAAGTAAAATTTCAGGAACCTTCATTGAGTTTGGGCAAAATAAGCTGATTTTACTCTTTAGTCTCTCAAATTACATCATGAATATTAGAAAGTTCATTAGATTTAGTGATGTTCACTGTCTCTATGTAGATATATTCAGAATCTATTGGATATTGTTAAGTGCTGTCAAGTCGGTTTTGGCTCATAGTAACTCTGTATAGGGTTTCCAAGGAGGTCCTGGTGGGTTTGAACTGCCAACCTTGCAGTTGGCAGTCCAGTGCTTATCCTACAGAGCTATACCAGGACTTCTTGTATTTAATTAATACAAAATAAGGCACAGTTTTAATTTTGAAAGGAAGGGAAAATTCATTACAAGTACAGACAATCCTGGGGTTATGAATGTCTGATTTTACAGACAACTCAGAAAACACATCTGTCCGTTGGTTGTGGTGGTGTGCTGTGGCATCGGTTCCAATTCACAGCGATACTACATAGGGTTTCTGAAGCTTAAAATCTTTGTGGGAGCAGACAGTTTCTCCTGGGGAGCAGCTGGAGAAACTTTTCCCATAAAGATTTAGTTTCGAACTGCTGACCTTGAGGTTAGCAGCCCAGCTCCTAACCACTATGCTATATGCACTTTGAAATGATTGAACCAAGTCTATTCAGCAAAAATTGTTCATCACATTCACCTTCATGTGGAGCTTTTAAATGATTAAGGCTTCCTGTCCTTCCACTAAAGTAAGGCTAAATAAGAACCATGTACACCTGTTTAGACTCACCTACAAATTCAACCAAAAGAGATATTAGGAATGGATGTCATTACCCAAAGACTGCAGTTTAATTTTCACCAATTTTTTAAGGTTGGTATGTTATTTAAGTTGATAAGAGAATGATAAACTCTTTTGAAATAATTTTGAGGCATTTGTTATTTTTTAATTACATAAATTTTTAATATTAAGCTCTTAATATATCCTTTTACTACTCAATATTGTTTTGGTTTATTGTGCCCTTTTAATGCTTTAGGTTACATATACATCAAAAGTGTGTGGGAGAGAGTTTCAAGCAGTTTGTGGAAAAGTGGACTTAAAAGATAATGGAATTTTTCCATGAGCTTTTTAAGCCAATTTGTGTAGCTGTTGATATTAATAGTGGGTTTTTTTTTTAGCTTTTATTTGTTTAAAAACCTTTGTCCTTCATGAAGCCACCCAATTCTGAAGGAAAGGGGTAGAAAAGAGTGCTGAGAACATATATGGGTGTAAATTGATGTTAAAAAAAAAAAAAATGGTATAGATTGGAGTTAGTGCTTATTAAACTTTCATCTCTATTAATCAATTCCTGGAGACTTGTTTTTTGCCAATACCTTCAGGGCATCTTGACCTTATTTATTCCTCAGTACCATTGGTTCTTGATCATAAGCTTCCCCTTGAAATGTTTGAACCTAGACCAATTCTTTTTGGCACAATGGCTCTGTGTATTCCTTCCATCATCTTTTGATGCTTCTTGTGTCATTCAAAAATTTGCCCATAGAACCCTTCAATATTGCAACCCAAGGCTTGAATTTTTTCTTTAGTTCCTTCGGCTTGAGAAATGCTGAGCATGTTCTTCCTCTGTGGCTTTCTAGATCCACATTATAATTTACTTATGTTCTCTAGCAGCTCCTAGAAATTTTCTGTTCAGCTCTCTTAGCTTCATCATTTCTTCTTGTTGCTTTAGTTTTTCTATGTTCAAGAGCAAGTTTCAGAGTCTCTTCTGACATTAATTTATGCCCTTTCTTTCCTATCATTTTTTTTTTCATCTGTTTTGTCTTCA